CCCCGGCTGGAGGGAGCTGTGTGTGAGCCCGCCGGTCCCTGTGGTGGGGACAGTGTTGCCAGGGTTGAGCTCTGCATGGAAGCTGATGGCGAGGGCCGTGAGGCCACGGCGTAGGGAGAGAGATGCCTGCATGGACGCGAGCCCACTGCAGATGGGCAAGCGAGGCAAGTGACAGCTTGGTGTTATTGTAGCTTTCTCTTCACCTGGTGCTCCTTTTCAAACAAACCCCACGTCCTGCCGAGGGCTGGCGAGCTGGGAGAGCCTTGCCTGGCAAGCCTTGCCAGGTGGCATGGGCATCTGAGCCCACAGCTCCTGCCTGAGTTTAACTGCCTCTCTTGCAGCCATCCATGGGTCTCCACTCTGCTGCCTGACCCTTTCCTTTTCTGGCTCTTCCAGCCTGTCAGGGCAAAGACTCCAAGTGTCCCAAGAGCTCCCAGAGGGTGGAGCAGGCCTTGCTGCCCTCCTGGCTACAATCTAATGCCACAAGCTTGACTCCAGCACCCTGCTGGGCAGGCCCCCTGGGTTCACCCTCCCCACCCATTCATGGACCTAGGACCTCCTGAGGACCTCGGCCCAGGCTGTCCCCACAGCAGAAGCACCCTGTGGGTCTGGGGTCTCGCAGCTTTCCCACACACCAGAGTGCCTCATGAAAGGGACAGCTTTCCATGGTACCCATGGTCCCAGGTCAGAGGCTGCACCCACACGCACAAGGCCACTGGCTAACAATAAAGTCTTCTATTTTGATAATATTTTGTTCCAAATTTTATGGAAATCAAGACACTATTTACTGGCTGATAAGGAATGTTGTTAGGTTTTAAAATTGTATAACCAATCCCCAGTTAATTAAAAACTTGTTTCTAGATTGGAAGGATTTTACTGTGCAGTCTGCAGGGATTGAAATATAGTTGAAAATGAAACTGTAAAACAAAAAAGTGAATAGAGGAAGCCAGCCAGAGAAATGAGTTTGAAGCTGAAATGTTGCAATAAGGTATACAAAAATAAGTGTCTGATATGCTACCCTTAAAATCCGTAACTCCACACTCCTGTAGAGAGCTCTGGCATTTATAGAGGACACACCGACACCCACAAGGGGCCACACAGTGACCCTGCACAACCTCACAGTCTCTTCCCAGCTTTGGCCATGGGACAGTGTGGCAGCCACTCCGTCCCACAGTTGGGCAAGGTGGTACTATGTAGACTGTCTCCTGCTGTCCTCAGAGCCAACTGTTCAGAGATTCCATTGAAGTCAGGTTGGTAGCTCAACATAAGCTATGGCGGGAATGTCGACACCACAGAAATTGTCAAACACTACAGACCAGGGATTTTTTTCCTCTGGAGAGCTGGATATTAAACATTTCCCAGCCCGCCACTGCCCTGAATCCTCCATACCAAGTAAGTGAAGGGTACACAGTTGGGGCATGCAGGTGTCTGTTTATCTAATAAATCCACAGACAGAGAGGAAGATGGCGGGATGGAAGGAAGGAAGCAAGGACAGATGGAACGCATGGTTGGGAAGACGGATGGGGAGATGGATGGAGAAAAGGACAGGGAGAGAGTGGGGCCATGTTGAGGGGTCATTCTTCCATTGAGAGGAAGAGCATCCTTGGTGACTAACACAATTATACATCAGCCTTCTCTTTGTAGAGAGAGCTTTCATTTTAGGACAAACTCCTAAGTTACTTGCTGGCCTTTTAAAAAAACACACTGACGCCCTAGATAAACAAGGTCCAGTGGTCTCTAGGTTTTACCCTTATGAATGAATGATAATCTGGAAATGGGTTGCTACAGCTGAAACAGTCCTCAGAGATGGTCTGCTCCCCAAATTCCTACCAAGGGGCTGACTGATGGTGCGGCCATGGGTTGGTAACAGTCCAGGCAGATGAGTAGCCACGCCTACCCGTGTGGGCCAGCTCCCACATGCACACTCACAAGAGAACAGACATGTGAATAGAGTCACCAGTTAATGGCTATCATAGAGCCTCTAGGGAAACCCGTGAGTCATTCTGAAGGCCCAGAGTAGGGAGGCCGGGTTCTGCGGTGCCTTCCTGGCCTGGTCACTGGTCTGTTTCCCACATGACACCAGACGAACTGCTTCCCGGCAACTGTGCGTCATGCTCCACATCCTTTGACCACGTAGCCAACATGCATTGCGAACATGCCTCCCCCTGTCCCCAAAAACCAGACGATGCAGTTTCAAGGCAAACTGAGGTTCCTGTTTGGACAGAAGAAGAAGGCACCGTCGGGGACAGTCCTGCCCCCACGCCTGTCACTATTCTGCGTCGTGGTGCCTGTCCTCTGGCATTCTGCAGCTGAGGTGAAGATGAAAAGCGCGCTCCTGAGGGCCAAGCACAAGGCCGACCCCATGGCCATCGTGGACGCCAAGTGAGTAGGCTCGGGCTCATGTCGCCGCAAGGTGGCCACTCTGAGTCGCAGCACAGCGCCTGACACTGGCGTTGTCTTCTTTCCTCCTTTCCAGCAGGCAATACAATGAGTTTGGTGTTATTAAAGTGACTATGTTAGGTGGGTAATGATGGTTAGGAAAAAATATTTTCAGACTCACACTGCAGCCTGGCCCCCGAGGCTGCCTGTGTCAGCTCGTCCCCAGACCGTCCTGCCGCAGCGCCAGGCTCAGAGCAGGTGCCGGCCCGTGTCCCATGGGAATGGGGCTGGGCCCAGCCTCCTGCCCGCTTTCCTCTCCCACTGCCCTTCTTCACAATCAGCCCCCCAATGAGTGAGGGTGGTTCCTGGCTGGGAGATGACGGGCCGGCGCTGCCAGGTGGGTGGGCTGAGGACCAGTGGCACAGCTGCCCCCTGCCGGTCCTTGTGCCTGTGCCACCCAATCCCGCCCCAGCATCTTCTCAGCCTCTCAGAAGGAGAAGACACTGTAGCCAGTTTTCTGGGCGAGTCGCATCCATGGTTTTGTAGAGTGGATTAAGCCTGCATTGCGTGGGTTGGTTTCTTGGGGGAGAGGTAAGAATTCGTGCATAGGCAACTGTGTTTCTGACTGGTGGGAAGACACCTTGTGGTGAGACCCAGGGCTGGGCTGGGGCAACAGGGATGCCTGGGGCCCCAACTCTCCCCCAGCATGGTGGGAGACACCTTCTCCCGCACCCAGTGCAGGTCCAGTTTGTCAAGACCCTGAGTCCCCAGCCCACCCCTTTGTCTCTTGGTGACTGTCACCACAGCAGACTCAGCTGAGTCGCAGCCACAGAGGAGATGCCCACTGCCCCAGGGGCCAGGGACTGTGCCTTGGAACAGATGCCTCAAGAGCTGGGCGACTTCTGTCGAGTCAGAACCACCTGCGTAGCTTTCTGGCTGGGCTGGCCAAGGACCCCATGAGGCTGTGGGGAGCTTTCCTGAGGGTGCCATTCTCAGCATCCTCCTTCTCACCACGTCCAGTGCGGACTCCCAGTTCACCTACCACCGCCCCACACTGCCTGTCTGCACCCATAGAGGCAGCTGTGAGAGTTTGTGTCTTGCCTTTTGCACGTGACATTACGGCGTGACCGAGAAGGCATGGACCTGGCACTCCTGGAAGCCTCTGTCCTCTCCTCCCCGCCTGCTGCCAGGGAAGCCCGGGCCTCCCTCCCAGCAGTTGCTGATGTCCCATTCCTGCCTGACTGAGTCTCCAGGGACCTGGCCCTCGCGCCCCGAGGCATGCCTGCCGGCTCAGGTCTAGGTGCTGAGCGCAGAGTGGAAAAGCTGGTCTGGACTCACCCATGTTCGTGTCCCTCAGCCCTCGGGTCTTTGACTGCCACCGAGGCGCTCCCATCTGCACTCCCCGGTGCCCGGTGCTGCTCGGGGCCTGGTAACCAGGCATTGGCTGGGACCCAGCCCACATGCTTGGTTCTCAGGCCTATGGCCACTATTGAGGCAGTCCACCTGTGTGGCCTGCGGATCCGTCATTGGCCACCCACCTTCACCAGACAGCAGTATCAGCTGGAAGGAAACCCCAGCAGGCATCTGACTTGGCCAGCCAGCCCAGGTGGGGATGCCAGCTGCGGCCCCCAGGAGAGATTCCCTGAGAGTCAAGGCACTCACCGACACACACACAAAGCACGCCAGGTTCACACACAACTTGGCTAGAAAGGCTTCCTGGTGATGGCTTGAACTCTCACTCCCTAGAATTTCCACCCTTCTTTCTCTAGCTAAATGTCCTCAGTTCTGTTTGCCTTGCTCCCGGGTTTGGGTTCCAGATACCTTCTGCACATGTACGCCACCTGGGGATGTGCACGGCAGGCCCAGTGATGCAGACTGGAAGAGATGTCCCTTCCTTTGTTCCGAGCATCCTGCCTTTACTAATGCATCAACTGCCACAGGTGTGTCCCTGCCATCCTATGTTGCAGTCACCATCGCCATGGAGACATGTCTCGCCTGTGCTGTGCTTTGTGGTTTGGTTTTGGATTCCACCTGCACGCCCTGACTTCCATTAGGACTGAATGTCATTCTTCAACACTTGGCCTTGGTGGACCTTGCCAGAGTGCAGCTTCGTGAGCGGGCTTTAGCTCTGGGACTCAGCAGCATCCAGCCGCCTGCTCTCCCTCCCTTCCCTGCGTTTTCACCGGTAGCGTGTCCTCCGAGTCCTCATGCATATCCTTGGAACAGCAGCACCTGCAGAGTGGCCCCAGGTCTGCCTGGCCCAGAGGCGTTGGGAGGGCCCTGGTTTCACACCTGCTGATGCCCAGATGCGGAGGGTGTGGCAGAGTGCCCCACCCAGTTGTCAGACATGTCCAGGAAGGAACTTGGGGCTCTGAGAACCCCAGGCTGGTGCCTCGGGAACTCTGCACGCTGAGGCTGCCTTCCCAACACCTCACCTCTCCGTGCCTCACCTTTGACCTCTTCAGATGGCCATTCAGATGGTTACCCAACCTGACAGCAGCGGCAGGTGTCTGGAGGTTTTCATGCCATGTGTGGCCATGCATGGGGTCCCGTGTGGGTTGCTCCATGTCCACCCAGCTCTGCCGTTGGGACCTAGCAGCCCCAGCTGCCCCCTCAAACGGCTGGTCACTGCCTGAGGCACATGGAAGGTGGTTCCAGGATGGGAGGAACCTGGGGCAGCTCTGACCCTGACACGTGCCAGGTGCTGAGAACAGATACCTGGAACAGGCTAAAATTAAATGCACATAAAGGATGAGAATGTAAACTGCAAGAGAGAAAAAACAGAAAGCCAAAGGAAAGTTACAAAATTGATGTGGCCACGGTGAGGCGTGCAAGCCCAACGGTCCCTGCTAGGATGGCTGCCTGTGGCGCAGGGCCAGCCCCCCACCTCCCCTCTCACCTTTCCGCCCCCGGCCCCCACCACCCCTGGCGGGCCACGCACACTGCGAGACACTCCTCTTTCACTTGCTGCCTCAGACTGTTCTGGTTGTAAGCTGCTTTGGCTTGATTTTTACAACGTAAACACACAACCTGAGCTTTCTCTGCCGCCCCCTGGCGTCCCAGCGGGAAAGCACAGGCCACACCCCCCAGGTGGCGGGGGCGGGGGGGAGGGGCAGGTGCTGGGCCACTGGTGTAGGGTCTTGGGCCCACCGCGCTCCCTGGAATGTAGACACCTAGACCCGCCTGTAGGGCCTGTGAGGGCTAGGGAAGTGAGGCGTACACAGTTGGCACACATCCTGTTATTACAATTCGGAAGGGGGAAGAAACCTGCCAAGCTGAGAGTTCTAACTCACACCTACCCAGGGTTTCTGGAGTTTTCACCAGCCTGCTCTGAACTGAGTTTGGCACTGACTCTGAGTAAACACCGTAGTCCACTCACCCTGAGCACTAGGGTGGTGCGAGGTACATACAGCAGAATCAAGCCCCCAGGCCGCCCCCTACAACTTTTCCTGATAGGGATTTTGCAACATGTCCTGGAGCCTCATTATTCTGTGACACTGCCCACTTATCAAAATGCACGTGTAACCCCAAATCAATACATGCCATTCTTTTGACCATCCACGGACACGCACAGAGGGGTTTGATTCACACGGTGGACACATGCCAGTTGAGGTCCAGTGAGGAGAATCCAGCCCCGCATTTCCTAAAGGTGTCCAGAGGACAGAGGCAGGTGGGGCAGGAGGTTCTGGCTCTGGGCCAGTTGGAGGGGTTGGAACCCAGCCCTGGGGCCTGTGGGTAGGGCAGTACTAGGCAGGTCACTTAACATTTTTCTTCTGAAAAATAAGGAAAATAGAGTCTACCAGAATGAGTCACTGCTGGGTCTTACGATTATAATCCATGTGAGAGATGTCCATGTATACACACACACATACATGTACACACATGTATGTGCACCCTGTTCAGCTGTCACTCATTTGGTATCTACGGTGACTTTATAGAACATAACTACCTCGAATTTCAAGAATCTACTATATTTTTGTTCTGTCTTTCCAGAACAAAAGTGCAAACTCTAAAAGTCATTCTGTGTGTACATCTACTTTCTGAAGCAAATTCATTAACCTTTTTTGGCCTAAAAAGAGACAGAATTCAGTATTTTCAGCAAATCTGTAACTGAGAAAACACTGTGAAGAACTGAGCGAGTGCGAGCTATTGTTCTGTCCTCACCGCTTGGTGTGACATCAGTACCTGTCATTCATTACTCTTCTCTACCTTTGACACATGTTTTATTGTTCTGCTATGATCTGTTCTTCACAGAGTAAAAGCTTCCATGAATCTGTGTGAATCAGAATTGCACGGAAAACCCAACTACTTTGAAGGTACTTTTAAAAATTCTCAATCTCATCTTTTCCGAATGGGTTCAAATGTATTTTGCTCCCTTGGAGAGCTCTCCCAGCCCTGGCACGTTCCATGGACATGCCGTTTTGGGGAGACTTGGTGTCTGTCCTGCTGATAACTGCCAGGTCCTGGGCCCTGTTCCATGCACTTTGTGGGAGCCGGATGAGACACGTCTGGTGCAGAACGAGGCGAGGCTCACCCAGGCGCTCCTCAGTTTCCCATGATGGCTTCTCTCCTCTCTAAACCCCAACAGGAAGGAGCAGCAGGGAAAATGGCCTCCTGGTGTTCAGGGCCCAGCCTGATGCTGGCTGTTGGGCCCGGGTTCCTGCCAGGGCCCCGTGTCTGTGCCTCAGGGATAGTCCAGACCTTGTCCTCGACCCCAAGGGGGCTGCAGGGTAAGTGGTGCCAGGCAGCCTCCCCAGCCCCGCCCTCAGTCACTGCTGAGGCCAAAGTAGAGAGGGGAGTGGGCCGACCGAAGAGACGGAGGGGGCCCTGATGGTCCCTGGGTGACAGACCTTGCTCTCCGTGGAGCACCTTCAGACGGCTCTTCGGCCGAGAACTCACACACGGGCTGGGACTGGCCTGGAGGAGCAGCAGCCTGGGGAGTGCTGGGTGCCGAGGATGCCTCGTGGGCTTCAGCAGAGCTGCCAGACCCGGGGCCCGCCTTCACCTGCTCCTGGGCCCTGAGTCCCCAGCCCCAGCCTGAGCTCACCCTTGCTGGGAAACCCTCTCCACATGCCCCCTCCTGGACCCACCCACCCCAGCGGGGCTCCCCTTCCCTGGCCAGCCCAGCTGTGTGTCAGGCTCTTTCCTGTCCTTGGGCCACTGTCTCTTGTCACACAGGTGCCAGTCCAGATGCCACACGGTGGTGTTGGCCAGTGACAAGGTCTGGCCACAGAAGATGGCCTCCTGCACCCTCACCCCTGGGCCCCTTTGAGCCCTGCCAGGCACCCAGGGATGGGGGGGTTACAGGACAGGCAGTGCCAGCACTGGCCTCCTGGGCTGCTGGCGGTGGGGGGGGTGGCATGTTGCAGCCTTGGTGGATTTAGCCAGTCCCTGTCCAGCTTAAGACTCCCCCTTGGAGACTCCCCAAGGGGGTGAGGCCATCGTCCCCAACGCTGTCTGATGGGCCGTCTCTCTGCAGGGCCAGGGACAAGGAGCAGGAGCGGGTCCCCAGCAGCTGCTCTGGAGGGAGGGGGCAGAGGGAGGCGCACGTGCACAGTTGCCACCTGGAGAAGCTGGGACCCTTGAGGCGCCTGGACTGCACGGCAGGACAGCACGGGGAGGATGGAAGCGTCACGCTGAAGCTGCAACCCAGCAAGGGTGACCTGGTCTCCAAGCGCCCTGTGCCCTGCAGCCCCTGTCTGCCCTACCCAGGGGCCCAGGGCACTTTCAATGCCAGCGGCACAACCACTTTCAGAAACTCACCCAGCTGTCACCCGCCGAGCTCGGGCCCTGGTGCCTACTCCAGTCAAGCCAGCAGGCCCGGGCGGGAGGTAGACGAGAGCCAAGTGCATGCCGCTCCCTGCTGCTACCCCCATGGCAGCCTGCAGAGCCAGCTCCCACAGCTCGGAGTGCGGCATTTTGCCACGGGAGCCTTCTCTGCCCAGGACGGGAAGCTACAAGGCCTGCAGATGTCCCCAGGAGGCCTGTGTGGGCCGATGTTGCCTCTGGAGGTGCCCATCAAGATGGAGCATGACTCTGGGTCTGAGGATGCAGTGGACGGCTATGTGCCCAGCCAGCTGTGGCCGGGGACCAGTGATGTGGCCAAGGGCCATCTGGCCACTTTCCCTACCAGAATGCACCTGAAGGCAGAGCCAGACTCTAGGCAGCCGGGCTACACCCCACACCTCGGGCATGACATCCTGGGAACTCCTCTGCATAGTAGGGCCACCGCCATGTGCTACCCTGCTCATGGCACCCACCTTGAGCACATGCCCGACCCGCCCCTGCTGGATCCTCACTGCCACCACCATGCACAGGGTCGCCATGAGGCTCAGGCCCTCCTGCCAGGTTGCACCTGCAGAGCTGTCGGGTCCGCCCCTGTTGTCAAGCGTGAGCCCCTGGACTCGCCCCCGTGGGCCACGCCCAGCCAGGGCAGAGTGCCCGAGGTGTTCCCCAAGAGTGCCTTGGCGATGCTGATCCCACCCCGAGCTCCTGAGTGCACTTTTCTGCTGTAGCACACTACCCATGCTCCGTCCACCCAGCCGGGGCTGCCTCTACACCTGGTCTAACAAGGCAGGTGCCTAACCAGAGCCTTCTTAGAGGAACTCTGCAGAGCTGCCCAGTGCAATCCTCTACTCTGTATGTGTGGCATGCACAGAGGTATACTCTGGATTTTATAAAATATCACCAAAGTTCTTAAATGCAAGCTGGCCCTGAGTGTAATCAAGCATGACAGTATCTCTCCTGAGGAATTCAAGTCCCTAAGAAAGTGGGATGTTCCATGACCCAGGGTGCCGTGTGGCAGGCCTGTTACCATCCAGTCCAAGTCAGGGAAAGCCGTCACACGATGCTCCTGGCTCAGAACTCCCAAGCCACCGCCAGCCCAGGCCTGTGCCATGCTGGCCAGGCCAACCTCTCAAAGGATAGCACTGCAGAGGACGGTACATGAGGAATTAGAAATGGAGCTCACTGAGCGACAGGGGACTGTGAGCCCATCTGTGGGAGGAAGCCAGGAAGCTGCAGGCAGGCAAGGCTGTCAGTGCTGCATCCCTGTGCTTTCCCATGACAGGTAGCAGGTGCTCTGTGGTGCTGTGGCCCAGCTGAGACGACCTGGAAGGGAAGTTAGCAGAATACTCTCTTGTTCCTTCTGGAAATCTCTGGTGTTCTCAGCAGCCACGGGATGGTTCATACTAGTCTGTCTCTTGGTACGTCATGTCATAAGGAGTTGACAGCGTCTACTTTTGAGAATGTGCAGAAACACAAAATGTAGAGAAAAGAAACAGGACGTTGAGATGTCTGTGGAGGCTGTCTTACTTGCTCACTATCTCTGCAGTTTCTTCCAACCACCATCCCAGGAAGAATTATTAGCGACAAGACAGACAGGTAGCACTTCAAAAACCATAAAGGTGGTGCTGGCTGTAGGCAATTTGAATACAAGAGCATACATCAGAAAGTTAAGGGCATCACAGGGCGCCACCCAAAGACAACTTATAGCTGATGGTGCCATTCAGAGTACCTCAGGGCCTGGCTCAGGCAGATAAGCCCCACTGGATGGTGAACATCAGGTATGGGTCTCCATGGAGCAAAAGGAAGCCACAGCACCGAGGTGCTTGGGGTCCTGCTGCAGCTGGGCCCACCTGTGCTGAGGAGTGGACAGACGCTTCTCCTCAGGGACAAGGGCATCTGCCCCTAAAGCCACCTCTACTTGGGAGTCTCAGGAGTGGCAGGAGCCTACCGGGTGAGGGACTTGCTGCTTGGCCACCTGGAACATTCTGCCTTTTTTAGCCACCTGCTGTGGCTTCGGGGTGTCAGTGTGTAGCCCCTGGTTTGATGCTGAAGCCACTGGCTAAGCACACATACATCTTGGCAGAACTCAGGCTCAGTTGGCAAGACTGGGTCTTTCTGCACACTTAGGCACAGCCTGGGTGCCTTGGGGGCTGAAGATCTCCTCCCAGAGCTGAACTCCCAAGGTCCACCAGTGGGCACACATCTCTGCTCGGTCTCTGGGGGCCTTTTGAAAGGTGACCTTGGTGCTGAGCTGTCGTGGGTGTGAGCCATGCTCATGGCCTCCACTTCGGCTGCCAGTCTCTCCCTTACCTGATGGACGCCTAAAGTCACGACGACAGCAGAGCTGCCCAGGGTCAGCCATGTGACGACCGACCACCCAAGTGCACACCACCTGTGAAGGCCAGCCACCTGAGAGCCAGCTATCTCATGGTCAGCTACCCTAGCACCAGTCATCTGCGAGGACCAGCCACTTGTGAGGACCAGCCTCCTGGAGACCAATTCTCAAGCTGTGCTCACACAGCGTACCTCTCTGCTCTCTGCGCATTTATGGATTTAACCCTTAAGACAAGGAGAGGGACTTAAAGGTCTCCCTCCTTCCCTTCTGTTCCAACCCAGTGCCTAGCTCCTGATCGTGGAAAGCTCTCGTTCATCAGACCTACGGCCTCCCTCAGAAAGTACCAGTTAACAAGTGTGTGCCGCTCTTGGGGTCCCCCTCCACAAGGGCCCGCCCATGCCCTGCATCCTGGAGCCCAACCCTCAGCATCACCCTCAGCCAAAGCGCTTCCTGCGTCCCTGAGGGTTGCAGAGGTGTGGAATGCACTCAGGCCCCCAAGCACACATGGAACCTGTCTCCCCGGCCTGGAAAGACTCCCAGAGGGCAGGCACCAGACTGGGTGGCTGCCCTACAGGTCACCTGACTAGCAGCCTGCAGGTTTTGGGTTTTGGGGACTCCCACATCATGCTGCAGCCCTTGAACACTGGGGGCCAGAGCCGTGTTCAGGGTCCCTTCCTCAGTGGCCACAAAAATCCCTGAATCAGCACTTTTGTTATTCTACGAGCCCACCCCTCCTGAAAAACCGAGTGGGGTAGGTGACGGTGGGAACACAGATGGTGCCAATGTGGTCACTTCTGCTTTCAAGTGTCATTGTTAGTACTGAAAACAGGTTTCTGTTTTTCTGCTTATGTGGCTTTTTCCTGAATAGCTGAAAAAGTATTAAAATCAAACAAATGTGGGAATGGAAGGGAAGAAATAAACACAAGTTACATTTTATATTTTTGCAGTTTCTGCAGAAGTTTTCAGCATCTATACCAACGTGTTTGATTTTAAAATGGAGGCACCGAGAACGCAACCTTGCCGTTTTCGCGGTGCCTTTTGAGAGCTTTCAGGTGCATTTCTTATTCTGCGTTCTGTGTTACACGTCCGGTGTTGACACGAAACCCGTGACACGCGAACACACGGTTGGGTCCACCGGGCAACTACCCGGCTTTCCAAATGAAGTCGCTCGATTTCCGTGAGCGTGCGTGTGGCTCGTTTACCTTCCAAGAGTCCTCCGCCGCCAAGTGGAAAGAAGGTGCCCGAACGTCGCCCGGCCCTGTCCTCGGGCGCCCGGCCCCGCAGCCCCCGCCGTCGCGGGAGTCGGGACCCTCCCGGGCGCTCTAGGACCCGCCACGGCCAGTCCCGGGAAGTGAGGGAGGCGGGCGAACCCGGCTCTGCCAGGGGGCGGGGCACAGAGGGGACGGGCGGAGCCCCTGGCCCGGGGTGGAGGGAGCCCTCCCTCACTGTGCGAGTCTTTGACCGGCGGCCGCAGCGGACGGGTGAGGGGGCCCCGCAGCTACCCCGGGCCCGGGAAGGCCGGGAGGGCAGGGATGCCCCTACCCCCGGTCCTGGGGAGACCCGGCCCGATGCGCAGGGACCCTCCCCTCCACCATCCTGGAGCGACCCACCCCGGTGGACAGGGACCCTCCCCCCACTT